GATCAGATCTATCTATGAATATTATTTGAATCTTTTTTGATCTCTTATATGCATGATTATTATAGCCTCGTATTTCTTCTCCAAAACTTTGGTTTGGTTTGGCCAACTAGATTGATTTTTCTTGCAATGGAAAGAGGTGCTTTGTGGTGGGTTCGATCTTGCGGTGCTCAATCTCAGTGACAGAAGGAGAAGTGACACGTATGTATCATTGCCATTAAGGATAAAAAAACATGGGGTCTATTCCTACATGAATAGATCTTGTCTATTATCGTTCTTATTGCATTACTCCATTTCTCCGTGAACTTAATACACTAGATGCATGTTGGATAGAGGTCGATGTGTGGAGTAATAGTAGTAGATGCAGAATCGTTTCGGTCTACTAATCTTGGAGATGATGCCTATATACATGATCATTTCCTTGGATATCATCATAGTTATTCGCTCTTCTATCAATTACCAACAGTAATTTGTTTACCCACCGTATGCTATTTCTCGAGACAAGCCACCAGTGAAATATACGACCCTCGGGTCTATTTCCTATCATATTGTTTTCAGATCTATTATTCCAAAAATCCAAAAATACCTTGCTGCACTTTTTCTTTACCTTTTTTATTTTGTGTTTTTGCTAGATCTATTTTTCAAATCTCATACAATTTAATCTATCTCAATACCGAGGAGGGTTTGACAAGCTCTTTTTCGCGTTGGGTTGCAAGTATTTGTTTTTTGTGTGCAGGTGTTGTTTACATAGTGTTGCTTGGTTCTCCTAGTGGATTGATAACCTTGGTTTCGTAACTGAGGGAAATACTTACCATTGTTTTGCTGCATCATCCTCTCCTCTTGGGGGAAATACCAATGCAGATACAAGCAATCAAAGACGTACCATTTATCATGATTCTTCAAAATATTTTTGAAGTTTTCATTCTCAGTTTGACTAGCAATAAAACTTTTAAGAGTATCTTCAAGAGTATTTCTACTGCTGCTATTAGTTCCATTAAAAGTATTTGATGCTCCATTATTACTAGGAAAAGGAAGTCTATGAGCATATTCATTTTTTACAATTCACATCACTAGTTTCTTCATTAGTGATGGCATTAAAGTTTACCTCTTCTTTACCTTTCACAATGGAGATGGGTTCATCAAGCTTGGCTGTCAACTCCGCATTCTTTTCTTCAGTTGCATTCATCCTCTTGGTGGTGGTTCTCTCAACATGCCATTGGGCATGGTTTTCTTGCATATCATCAAGTAGTTTCCTGACATCATCTATGAGCTTTCCCATGATTGTTCCTCCTGCAGCTGTATCAACCATAGTTTTTGACATGTGATTTAAACCATTATAAAACATGTGAAGGATTAACCATTCCTCCATTCCATGATTAGGACAGTTCCTTATGGCTTCTTTTATTCTATCCCATGCAAGCTCTAGTGGCTCACATTCTTCCTGCTTGAAACCTTAATCTGAGAACGTAGTTGCATAAATTTTGCAGGTGGACAAAACTTAGATAAAAATTTGCTGCAACAATCAGGCCATGAAGTTATATTGCCTCTAGGTAAAGCTAGAAGCCATTCTTTTGCTTTTCCTCTCAGAGAGAAAGGAAATAGATGCAACTTCAAAGCATAAGGGTCACAATCTCTAATGCGTGTCATGTTGCACAATTCAGTAAAATTATGCAAGTGCATACTGACATCTTCAGAAGTGGATACTCCAAATTGGCCCTATTGAACCGTGGAAACTAAGTTCTGTTTGACCTCATGCTCAGCGGGTGCAACCTCGGGTTGTGCTATGGATTCATGCATAAAGTTGTTGCTCGGAGTAGCAAAACTTCCAAGATTACGAGACATGATAATCTTTTTAGGTTTTTCAACTAACAAGACTTGCAACAAGAAAAAACTTAAACTAGAACAAAAAGTAAAAACAAAAACTGAAACTATACTTTAACAAAAACTCCAAACACAAAGACTAGGAACACTAAACTCCTCCCCAGCAACGGTGCCAAAAAAGGGCTTGATACCTCCTTTTAGTGATCTAGTAAAGGAACAAAAACTATCCCGCACCTGTTTCCGCAAAGGTGACCCTGGGTTATCGAACCCACGAGAGGAAGGCTCCCTTGAAGTGATGGTCTCTAGCAAGCTTTCGTCAAAGGATTAATTCGAGCTTATGACCGGATCAATCAAGCAAATAGTGATTCAAACACTTACAATAAAAAAGAGGTACGAGTATGAGGTCTTAATGCTTACAACCATGTTTTTGTGTTGGGACCAGACATGATCTTAATTTGTGCGCTGGAAGTCACTCGTCGAGATGTGTTTGTTATGAACCGAAGTGGGGGATATGTCCAAATAACATCTTGACTGGCACAAGTATTGCATCAAGAATCAGTTGTCCTACCGCAGGCCCTATCCATCGCGCAGGGTTGCCTCGATAATTAAAATTATAATAATCAGATGAGAGCTTTGGGCGTTTAATGACTACACCTCATGAATCCCCAAGGATTAGATCCGTGTTACTGTACTAAACCCTTCTATCACTGTTGTTCAGAATAATTTTCACATTCTCCTTGCACTTAGCATCACCATTGCTCGATCTCTATGATCCTGGGTACGTGCAGGGATGAAGACCGCGGACAAGACAAGAGACATCTACGGAATAATTTTATTTCACACATACGGGGTGTTAATTCTAAGCTCTTCCATTGATCCCCACAACAAATACAACGGGTTGCAAGGCCTATCCCTCATCACATACCTTATTGAACTACTCACACATGGAGATCAGATCGCAAGAAGAAAACACTGAGGAACACATCTTGAAAGATTGATGGATTGCAAATATGTCTTACAATGGTTGCCTTGTGCGATGCATGATTACAAGTATAAACTAGAGGGAGATGGGCTATGGTGGTGTTGGCGGCTATGGAGATGAAAAATGGCGGCGGCTAGGGTTGACGAGAGGGGATGACGATGGTTCTGTTCTGGTTTCACTCGACGCTTCTCTGTTGACATGTTGACGTGGTCCCCTTTATAAAAGTTGTTTAGGTGGACGAGGCACCTCAGAATTCATGCCATACGACCGCTCATATGGGCGTTCGCGGTCATATGGAACACCGTCTTTTGTGTTGTTTTTGCTGGTGTGCCTCCTGATGATTTATTCTATCTCCATTTCCACTCGTTTCCATGTTCATATGTGATTTCTTCCCTTTCTGGCTCATTTCCTGCGGAAACACATCTAAGAGAGGATTCATGGAATCCTTCGCATTTATTAGTCATTAGTAGCAATATCGTAGTGACTATCTCGGTATTAATGAAATATATCAGTTTAAACAAAAGGTGAATGGGTGTAAAAATATCACTCGTCAAGGTCAAAGAATTCGGGGCCCTGGCCCTTCTTAAGAGATAGTCGTGTGGAGGAAGGGGCCCTGGGACACGGGGCCAGATGCCCCAGGGACCCGAAGAATCCAGAGTGAAAACCTTTACTCGAGGACCCAGTCCCTAGACCTCGGGGCCTAGAGGTCACAACAATAGTGGCACTTGGTTAGGATTTTGACCCACAAAATCCTTAGGCACATGGGTGACTTAGTGTATGAGTTTCCATGATCCTCAGACTTTCTAGAACTCCCTCAACCCCTATTAATAGTGTGGTTTTCCTACGACTTGAATAAAGCTATAAAACCTTAGAGTCTTCATATAACTGAGAACTTTTTTCCTTATTGAAATGGGGGTCAATTATTTCCGTAATATATCAGCGAGAGACAAATGTCCTGAGGTAAACTTGAGAACCAACATAGTCCTACTAACAATTACCAGATGGTCCAGACACTCTTGGACCTCCAATTTGGACACCTATTTAGGCTCGAACGCACCCAGACGTTTGAAATCCCTAGTTCAACCCCAAATCAGGGGAGTTCAGGCGGTCCACCATCCACTTGGCCCACATTCATTCGGGCTACTCCAAGTCTCCTCACTTATATATAGCTTTTGGGGAATGGGCTAGAGATGCTCTCTAGCGAGGATCCCTCATCCTATAGTTCTATATTGTATCCCCTTTCCTCTAAAAAGCTATATTTTAGGGGATTAAACTTTTCTTCATCTAGAAAATCCCCTAAACTTATTCCCCAAACCAATTCAACCCCACAATGGAGCCTCTCTTCATCTTCTTCCGTCTTTCTTCTTCTTCCTTTCATGTGGCCAACGATGACTTCTCGCCACTAGACAATGTCCATGAGCTATCCAGGGCTTGGATATATGGTCCGCAAAAGTAGTTTGATAAAGGATCATCGACCGTGATTGTACGCATGTGAAGGAGTCTACAAACTAGGTGGAATTCGTCTTCCATGGGCCACGGTTTCAACATTTCTTCTTCACAATGAGTTCTTCTCGTCTTCCTTCTTCTAGTGGCACGATGACGTGGTCCAAAATGCAAGGAATCATTGGAATCGATGTTGGCGGACATGTTTCTCGGTACAAAAAAACTCTGTGTGATGTTTCTCCTTTGTAGGAGTTCGTCTGCTTGGGTCAGCTGCTCTACTCGTGGCCCAGTGAGGACGGGGGAGAGCCACCGAGCCACAGCCAGGGATGCTAGAGAAAATCCCCTAAACTTATTCCCAATTGAGTTTGGGGCTCTTCAAAAGTTTCACAAATTTGCCACATTCATATGACTCTTCCTATAAAGCTAATCCAACTTGTGCAAGTTTCACTTCTAACCGTACTGTATACAAGGAGGGGGAAAAGCCTTTTGTAGTTTATACTCAGTATAATACACAATTGAACCAAACCAGTAGCGAGCAGAAAATCACCGGGGCTGCCTGCCTGCCTGCCTGCCTGCCTCTACTACACGCACGTTGTCCCGAGTCCCGACCGTCCCCCGCTACTCGCCAGGAGCTGCTGCCACTTTCCACCCTATGAAAACCCAAATCACCTCACCATGTCTCTGCAACAAGCGTCTTCGACGAGCAGAACGAAATTAGCGTCACCACGACTACCACCTAGCTCCTCCTCCTCCTCCTTCAGGCCATCCTCAGCGCCTCCCTGAAGCCGATACTGAAGCTGCTCTCCAACCCGGCCCCGGCCTTCTTCGCCAGCCCCAGCGCCGGCTTCTGCATCATCGCCACGAACTCGTTGTAGTCTATGCGCCCGTCCTGCCAAAACAACCAACACACGAGATCATCAGCATTTTGGTTTCAGTTCAGTCAGAGCGCCCCCAAGAGAAGATAAAAAAGGAAGGGAAGCTGTGACCGACGTTGTCCTGGTCGACTTCTCTGATCATGTTGTCGAGGCTGAGGTCGTCGGAGCCGAGGCCGAACTCCTCGCAGGCGAGCTGCAGCTCGTCGGGGGTGATGTAGCCGCTGCCGTCCTTGTCGAAGTACTGGAACGCCGCGAACAGGTGGTCCTCCCGCTCCACCTTGTTCAGGTGCAGCGTCGCCGCGATGAACTCGCCGTAGTCGATCGTCCCGCTCTTGTCCACGTCCGCCTGCGTTCACCCCATTTCATCATCATGTCGTGTCAAGACCAAGTTTTTTCACTGGATTAATAATCATCCTCGCTCATCTGAGATGAGAAGCTTTATTGAACTTACGGCCTGCATGAGCGCGTAGATCTCCGACTCCTGGAGGTTGGCGCCCACCTTCTTGAGCCCCACCTTGAGCTCCTCGTACGTGATCTGCCCGCTGTTGTCCGAGTCGATCATCTTGAACATCTCCTTGAGGCCGGCGATCTCGTCCTCGGACAAGTTCTCCGCAATCACCTGGACAGACACACACGTACACACGTCAGGACAAGTCGATTTGGATGGTTTTTGCATTCTTGGTCTCTTCCATGATAACATCCACCGAGCTCCAAATGGCATTGGCAGGTAGTGCCGGCCACTTGGCTTGGTGGTTGAGCACAAAGGCAAGATGACAATTCAGAGCGACAAGGCATGCGAAAGAAACACTCATTTCAAGACGGGAAGTGAATACTTCTTACCCTGAGAGCCATCTTTTTGAGCTTGTTCATGGCCGAGAACTGCTTCATACGGGATAGAACAGCAGAGTCCAGAGGCTTGTCAGGAGCCAGACCGCCAACCTGAACCCATGGATGCCCTGAAACAGTGCAAAAATAACAATCTTCAGACTTCAGCAACACAATTCACTAAAGAGTAAAGACCATTGAGAGAACTAGAATTTATGTAGTCATGTGATGAGAAATTTAGTGACTCACGTAGAACTTCATGGGCGGTCAGTCTCTTCTTGGGGTCCCTGAGGAGCATTCTCCTCACGAGATCCTTGGCGCCTTCGGAGATGCTGGGCCATGGATCTGACTCGAAGTCGAGTTTCCCATGTAGAACCTCTTCGAATATGCCCTGCTCGTTCTCTGGTCGATGAAAAGAAACAAAGGCTGTAATTAGATCAAAATGCCAAAAAAAATGTAAAGTAATTGCGCATTGTGTCGAAGAAGTAAAGAACTCGAAAGTGAACACAATTCATACCTGCCCAAAATGGCGGCACACCACATAACAGAATGTAGATGATCACACCGGCGCTCCAGACGTCTGCCTCGGGGCCATATTTCTTCTTCAGCACTTCTGGCGCGACATAGTAGGGGCTTCCGACAACATCGGTGAATATTTGACCTGGGATAATTAAGATCCTCATCAGCAGAGATTACAGTGGAGAATGTCTCAAATCTGATGGATAAGATTCAAACTGCAGGATGATAATGATGTGCAACCAAGCTGTTCATGGTTGCAGTTGAATGGCATAATTTCTCAGAAAAAAGAATGCTGCTGAAATCACAATGCATTGCCAAAATTCAGTATGCTGTCATGCTTTATGAAGCCCGCAACATGGTCACATCAATCAGTCTGGATGGGATGTGAGCCCGTGACCGAATTATGGATCAAATCAAAGAACAGAAATACAGAACCATGGTAGCAAAATGACAAATCATATCTTGCCCATCTAGATGCAGTGCAATCCCTTGAATGTAGTATGATATTGTTTTCATGTTTACTTTTCTGAAAAATAAAAAATAAACATACGAAAGTGTTTCCTTTTCTGAAAACAATGGAGATGAACTCCAGCTACGATTAGTAACAGAATGGTGGTTGCACCCACCAGATTGACCAACAACTCACCAGGCCGGAAGAAGACGGAGAGACCAAAGTCGATGGTCTTGAGGGCGGCCTCCTCCGTCTGGTCGACGAAGAGGAAGTTCTCGGGCTTGAGGTCCCGGTGCATGACGCCCATGGAGTGGCACACCTCTACGACGCCGACGATGACCCTGGCGAGCTCGGCGGCCTTGCGCTCGGTGTAGTGGCCCTTCTGCACGATCCTGTCGAAGAGCTCGCCGCCGGCGCAGAGCTCCATGACGAGGTGCACGGCGACGGCGTCCTCGTAGGCGCCCCGGATGGAGATGACGTTGGGGTGGCCCGCCAGGTGGTACATTATCTGGATCTCCCGGCGCACGTCCTCCACGTCGTCGTCGGTGACGAGCTTGCGCTTGAGGATGGACTTGCAGGCGTACTCCTTGCCGGAGCTCCGCTCGACGCAGAGGTAGGTGGTGCCGAACTGGCCCTGGCCCAGCCGCCGCCCCAGGCTGTACTTCTCCTTGACGCTCTCCGTCTTGCGCTTGAGCACGGAGCCGACCAGCAGGCCGGCGCTCGACACGCGCTTGACCGGGGGCACCTTGGGCCGGTGGTGCGGCGGCTTGGCCTCGCCGAAGCCGGAGCCGGAGCTGCTGGACGAGTCCGTGGACGCCTTGGACTCCTGCTCCTTGGCGGCGGCGGGGGCGGCCGGCTTGGGATGTGCCGGCGGCTTGGCCTTGGGCTTGGGTTGCGCCGCCTCATCGGGCTTGGCGTTGGCGGCGCCGGAGGCGATCTTGACGGGCTCGGGCGCCTTGCTCACGATGTGGGCGGCCAGCGGCGCGTCCGGCGGCGGCGTCCGGTCCGCGGCGCCTCCATTGGCGTTGGCGGCGGGCAGGGCTTCGCCGTCGGGGCGCCTGGTCCAGAGCACGGTGGAGACGGAGTGGAAGAAGCCGTTCTTGCCGATGCTGGGGCCGACGCACGTGTTGCCCATCGCCGCTGCCGATGGGTGGGACGATCGGACCAAGACGAAGACGGAATCGCCGAATCTTTATGGAGCGGCGGGCGGGGGGGACAGGACAAGGGCCTGCGGCAGCTACCCCACCACCACTCCTGCTCCAGGGATCCAAGCACGGGACGGGACGGGGCGGGAGACTCGTGGTGCTCTGCGCCGCGCCGGGGCCGATCAGATCACGCGCGGCCCGGAGGGGTGTCGGCCACCCACCGAGGAAAGGAAAGGAAAGGAAAGGATTTTACCTTCCAACGGGGAAGAGATGGGCTGGATTGAAGGAAAGTGCTAGCAGGATCGATGAGCCGTCGAAGTCAACGCCTTCCATCCGGCGGGAGCAGGAGCTGGAGCTGCAGCTTGGAATGCCATGATCTGACGCCTCTGGGACGGGGGCCATGTATGCATCAAGAGGCAGAATTGTTGAATGAGCACATTGAAGATGGTTGGTGGGCCTTGGTGCTCAGCCGGCAGGTGGTGAGAAGAAGAAGGAAAGGGAAGAGAAGAGAAGAAGCAGTCAAAGGCGAATGCTTATGCAAGAAACCAAATTGCTCAAGCAAAGGCACGGCGTCAACAAACAAAACAAAACGAAACTGTGGACGAAGAGCTCGGGCGGGACGGGACGGGCCCTCGGCGATGATGATGATATACTGTTGCGATTGTGATTGAGGAAGGGGACAAGGAAGACGAGGAGGGAGAGGGGGAGGCCCCGCGAGGAGAGGAACCCAACGGTGATAGAGTATCTAAGACCAAGGAGAAGACTATGGGCAGACAAAAAGCAATAGCAGCAGCGGCACTTCGTGAACAAAAAGAAATCCAGCCACGGGCAAGGAGGAGGTGGGGGTTGCGGTTGGCGCCTCTTATCTTAGTTATTAAGACTTACTTAAAAGAGACAATGATTAGCGAGCCGCGTCTACTGCTACTTATTATCTGCGACCTCGACATGGCACCGCACGGCACAGCACGGGCGGGCGAAGAAGAGGGGGCGAAGTGGGGTGCGAGAGGAAGATGGGTCGCAGAGATAGATATATAATTTCGCGTGCCGTTTTGCTTCCCGGCTTCTTCCTGGGCGGAGTGCCTAACCCGCAACGCGAGCGAAAGCGCGTGAGCTCGTTTCATGGCCGACCAGGTCGTGCCGCGCTCGCCGCTTGGCGCTGTCGAACAAGTCCAAAAGGGCGTCGCCATCTCTACTACCACAGGGAGAGCGCCATCTCTACTGGACGGACGGAGGGCCTCCTTTTCCCGGCAGGTGGTCTGGCAAACGTCCCTGTAACATCCCCTGTTTTCCGACGGGGATCGCGACCGACGTGGCTTGGGCATGCTACGTGACTGCAATTTCAACGTATGGACGCCGATTGCTTCCCTTTTCCTGGAGAACGGGTCAAGCGGATGTGAGAAACCCGGTCGCTTTCTCCGTGGGGATGGATAGCACACAGGCTGGCGATGAAACGGAACAGCTCATGAGGACGGACGGACGGACGGAAGGACGGACACCGTAAACAAACACGGCACATTGCCGCGTTGACAGATGAAGGGAAACATCCAGGAAGCACGCATGCCCTAGTGCTTCCAAAACAAGCCCGCTGGGGTGTGAGACAAAAATAATAATAGTACAACACCAGTGCATTTCCTCTCTACCAGACAAATATATCGGCCACAAATAAGATAAACCAGACGGCAGGGAAAAGGAGACAAAATTACACTCTAAACTAGAGTTCTAAGCCAGTTTGGGTGTGAAACAAAAAAGAATAATACACCAGTACACTTTCTCTGCGAGACAACTATATCGGACCCGACGCAAATAAGAAACTCTTGACAAAATTACACCTTCAGATACACTCTTGTTTGTTCCATTTTACACCCCAAGAGCACAAGCGTACTACTACAACATGTGCCACCCCACCAGGGCTTTCACCCTTTCGACTGACCCACCAACCAAGCAACAAAATATAATTGAGTGGCTACTCTACACTGACCTTGATTTGAGATTTGCATGACAGCCTCCAGATAGATATATGTCCTGTGGGTGGGACAGCTTCGATGCTGGAGCATGTGTATGGCCATACGAAATCATCATCGTCTCCAGAGTTCCCATCCACATGACCTTCCCGGACATTGCACCATCCAAAATAGCCACCATGTATTGCAAAATTGAACAGCGAAGCTACCTTTTCTTCTGTGTCCTCTTGGCCTTGATGATCCGCCTGTTGGACTTGTCGCCGCCCATGCTGCCCAACGAGAAGTTCCCGCCCTGGAACTCTAAGCTACCACCAGTTGGGAATGCCGGGTTCTGCTGCACCGAGCCTTGTTGACCGCCAAACTGGAAAGCTCCGGCAGGCTGGGCAGCCGGAGCACCAAATACTGGAGTGGCCGGTGAACTAGCTGGCTGCCCAAAAACTGGAGCGGCGGGTGAACTAGCTGGCTGCCCAAATAACGAAGAACCAAACACTGGTGCAGACACTTGCGGCGGTGCTGCTTGGTTAGTGTCATCAGCCATGCTGTCTTCCATACTCATCTGGTCATTTCCAGGAGATCCCATTCCGAAGCCTGTGTTGGCATTTGTCATCCCAAATGCAGGCTGTGGTGTAGACAAATTCATGCTTGCGCTCGCCGAGGTAAACGAATAAACTGGAGGAGCTTGCGATGAGAAAGCTGGAGCTGACTGTGCTCCAAATGAAAAAGCACCCCCTGAAGATGCTGATTGTCCAAATGTAAACATGCTGGGCGAGGACGAAGCTGAACCAAAAGGGTTGCTGAGAGCAGCGGACGATGAAGCCGTGGAGCTACTGCTGAACATACTTGTACTAGCCACTGCCAAGGACGAGGCAGTGGAAGAGCTAGGTGATGAAAATGCAAACCCACTTCCAGATCCAGAGAAGGCGGCAGCTCCAGATCCAAACGGTGAATTACCAAACACAGACCCGGAAGAGGAAGTTGTCACGCCAAAAGACACAGTTCCAGGTCCAGATGAGGAAGCTGTCCCTCCAAAAGTCATAGTCCCAGGTCCAGATGAGGAAGGCGTCGCTCCAAAAGATACAGTCCCAGGTCCAGATGACGAAACCCCTGCTCCAAACGAGAAGACACCAGTGCCAGATGAGGAAGCTCCTACTCCAATAGAAACACTCCCTGGACCTCCTGATGAGGAAGCCCCCGCTCCAAAAGACACGGTACCAGGACCAGATGAAGATGCTCCTGCTCCAAACAACAAGGTCCCGGGGGGAGAAGCTCCCACTCCGAAAGAGACAGTGCCAGGTCCCGATGACGAAGCTGCCGCTCCACTAGCCACAATCGGGAATGAAGAGCTAAACTGCGTGGCTGAACTCTGAGGCGGCTGTGACATTGTGCCCTGTGGCTGTGGCTTGCTACCAAAGATCGTGCTAGCAGGAGATGGTTGAGAGGTACTGCCACCAACAGTTGTGCTCAGACCAGTAGATTGAGATGGAGAACTGAACCCAAATATGCTGTTTCCTGAGCTCGAGAATGCAAACGCTGCCGTTGAAGCGGACTGGACACCAGAAGTAGTAGATGGTGTAGAATTAGCTGCTGCAGTTCCAACACTAAAGGATGCAACAGGAGAAGACGAAAATGTTGCCGTGCTCGAGAAAGAAGAGGATGTGACTGGAGAGCTCGAAAAGGTTGTGATATTTGATGAGAAAATGGACGCAGTATTCAGATTGGATGATGCCTTGCTGGCTGTTTCTGGGACTTTAGACTTGGATTCAGCTGTAGTACCCACGGTACCAAAGAGTGAAGTGCTAGCTGGCTTTGTCTCTGTGGATGTCGTCTCTGGTTTTGGTGCTGCTACCGTTGGAGTGCTGGAGCCAAAATTGATAGTTGGAAATGCAGGAACCGAAGATGAAACAGGTGGACTGTTGCTGGATACAGAGAAGCCGGCAATGGTAGTTAATGGAGCGGTGCTGACAGCAGGTTTATCAGTGGGCGTGGTATTTGACAACTTCGGTGGTGATGTGTGCGACAAGCCATTGCTCAGGCCCGGTGAAGTAGATGCAGCAGAAGCAAAATGGAGAGGTGGAGTCAATGTTGGTGCAGCCGTAGGCAACACCTTGTCAGATGACTTATGGATATCTCCAGCTCCTTCCCTTCCATTGCCTTGCTCCAAATTAGGTGTGTCCAATGATGCGGGCTTCGTGACACTGGAAACACAAGAAGCAGAATACATTAGCAGATACTCCAAATAGTAAAATGCAACTGCCTATGAAAAATAAATGTCTCACAAATCCAAAACAAAATTTGAGTTATAAACAAAAGAAACAAGAATTTTTTATGGGTTGTCCTCCAATTTTTTGATCCATAGTGATTGAACATGACTAAGATGCCCTTATCTTTCAAACTTATACCCTTACTATATGTTTCACAGTTGTAACTACAATGCTCACTCCGTCTCACTATATGTTATTGGCCTCAGGAAACTCCATTCCCAGAGAATAGGGCAGCGATGAGCTACTGATACATGAGATGTATACATGGACGACGCTAAAACACAATATTTGCCCATTGAGGGAATAATCAATATTGTAGCCAATATTTGTGCTTTACCCCTATTTAACTGATTTGGGAATTGCTGATTGGTAGTACTGTGACATTAAGGTGTCTGTTGTCTCGTTCTTCTTAGAATTACTACCTCCTTGGCTGCGCACATGGTAGGCTGAAGACTGATATAGAACAACACACGCACTTTCACTACAATCCAAAAGTATACAACATGTCTGAACTTGGTGCACACCCTTCGACCCTTGCCATTAATTATCTTAATATTATTGCGACAAAATACGATATGAAAGAAGCTCCTCAAGTGAATAACTAATATGCATCTCTTCTCCTAACAGATTTCTTTCTAGCCTACCTTTATGACATCCCTTCCAGGTAATACCAAAATCTTTCAAAACTTCTCAAGTGAACAACTAATATGCATCTCTTCTCCTAACAGATTTCTTTCTAGCCTACCTTTATGAAATCCCTTCCAGGTA